GTGGGGGGATTTGGGTCAGTGTAAGGGTGTCGAGGTTCTATTTGGGGTGAGGGAAACATTGTTTAAATGGTCATGGTTTCCCGGACCAAGTGGGCACACAGCGTTTTGCTCCTGGCTCCCAAGCAGCGTCTGGCCCCGCGTGTCTCCACTTCTTGAGCCCGCAGGCGGGGATGCGCTCACAGCCCAGGGTGGAGGGCTGGTGGAGCAGCAGAGGAGAGGGTGCAGAGGGGATCCCCGCCCCATCTAAAGATGCCTCAGCTCTGCTGGCCTCAACTCAGAGCTTGAGAAGGCTGGCCCTGGTGGAGAGTTGTGCAAACGTGAGTGGGGAGAAGGCAGTAATTGAGCTACCTGGATCAGCAAATAAAAATCGAGATTAAAAAAAAACAACTATGATGGTTGCATGGTATGTTAGGTACAGTTAATGCCACCGAATCATGCACTTGGGAACTGCCAGGTGCTGAGCTTTCCACGCATTTTACCACCATGACAGTGACAGATAATGATTACACAGGTCATAGCCCAGAGGGAAGGGACACTGGTCATGAACAAGCCTCTGGTCTGTTAAGAATGTCCCAGCAAAGAGGAAAGTGGGGACAGTACTGGGGGCCCCTCTGTCCTCCCCAGTGGCCATGTGGAAACGGGTTTCCGTCTTGAGCAGCTGGAGAAGGCTGCCCTGTCACCCCCCTTACCCATCCTGTCTCCACAGACCCCAGGGGAAGTCCTACCTGTACTTCACCCAGTTTAAGGCGGAAGTGCAAGGTGCCAAGATCGAGCATGGCATGGCCTACGTGAGTACCCCCTCCTGACCCTGGTGAGAAAGGGGGTGCCAGGCTGCACACCAATGTCACTCCGTGAATGAAGAGGTGATCTCCATGCCCTCCTGCTGGGATACGTGGGGGCAGCTCTGGTGGCACAGACGTGTGACCAGAAGGTCAGGGATTCAAACCCACCGAACTCCTCTACGGGAGGGAAGCCTGGCGGTTGGGCCCATAAAGGTGATGGTCTGGGGGCGCTGTGAGGCATTTCTGCCGTCACCCCGATCCCCATGTCAGAGGCAGCTCCATGGCACCCGGCCACAATTTAAAGTGGGGACAGGGCTCCCATCAGCACACGGTTCCTGGGCGGTGAACACATGGCTCCTGTCAGAGTCTCTCTGGACCAGAAAATGACACCATCTAGAGAAGGGTACCTGTCTGTCATCCCCCCACCTACCTCAGGAGGCGCTCCTAAAGCTGTGTTCCCTTTCAGTCAAAAGCGGCTGCGCTCGAAAGTGAGAGTGACGTGCCCTTGAAAAGCGAGGAGTTTGAAGTGAGCAAAACAGCAGGTACGTACAGGTGGGAGTGGAGGTGGAGGTTGGACCTGAGCAAAGGGGGGTGGGGGGAGCAGCACAGGGACAGCCTTCAGGGCTGGGATGGAGTGAGGGGAGACTACGGGTGGGGTCTGAGGATAAAGTGAGGGGAGAGCTGGGGGTGGGGCCTGGGATGGAGAGAGGGGAGAGTGGACGGTGGCCACGTAGACTTCCCGGAAGGGGCAGTGAGTTTCTGTTTGGGGCTTCGTAGGCCTCTTCTCCTTCACCGGGTCAGCCTTGTCACCTTCCTGAAGAAGCATTGGAGTAAGTCAGCTCATGACAGAAATTAGCAGGATCGGAGTGTGTGCACGAGAGGGAGGTTCCAGAGCGGGTTCCATGATCGCATCTGATTGGTCCTTCCTTCAGCTTAGAGTTCTGGGGCCTCTGCTCTGCCCCCCACACTCGTGTTCTGGGGGCCTTTATGTTGGCATCTACTCCCCATCCCTGCCCATTCCGTCCTGTGACCATTCTGATGCTTGAGGTACAGGGGTCTGAGGACTTGGGGTGCCCAGCGCCCCCAAATGATGGATCCCCTCTCTTGCAGTCTCCCACAGGCCCGGGGCCTTCAAGGCTGAGCTGTCCAAGCTGGTGATCGTGGCCCGGGTGCCCCCCCACAGTGAGCTGTGACAGGATCGGAGCGGCTGGGCCTTCTCATCTCTGAGCGAGGCTGGGTCCGGAGGACTGGCGTGGCCCCGATTTTCTGGGGATGCCGACAGCCTTCTTCCTTGTCTGGAGGGACTTGCACTGCAACGAGGCCCTGGGCCCAAGTTCACAGAGCCAGATCAGATGACCTACTGGGCCCTTCCTGGCTTTCCAGAACCTTCCCTAGTTTTGTACTCCCTGAACCGGACTCAGCTTCTAGTCCTTTCTGGAAGGGGCATCAGGTGTGAAGAGGGTGGTCTTGGGCCCTCCGGAGCCATGTCCCCTCCGAGCTTCAGGATGCTTCCTGGGAGAGCAGCCCCCTCGCCCCGCCCACCACGGGCACACAGCCCTTGTCACCTCCAGGACGCTTTCACAACTCGCCCAGGGAGCATTGATTGGAGAAAACGCACCACCTCTGGTATTTAAATAAATACAGCACAGATGCTCGGCACCCGGAGCTGGTGGCCTCCAGCTGTGGGGTGGGGGCTCGGGGCAGCGACCCCTTGGCTGGGGCTGGGGCTCTTCTCAGGCCGGGGCGCGCATGGGAACAAACACTGTCCTGCAGTGGGAGGACAGGGATGCCACATGGTCAGTGGCAGTGACCCCTGGACAGGACTCACTGCAGGTGCTACGGTGCAGCCATCGCTTGATCTCAGCCCTGCACAGTCTGGGGGCCAGGTGGGGGCTCGGGCCACTATCAGCTCTCACACCACCCTCAACCCCAGACAGGAGGACACTTGGCCACTGTGGCTCGCAAACAGTCCCCACAGTTTCCAAGGGTCTTCCCCTTCAGTCTTCACCTCCCATTCCTGGTCCCCTCACACACACAGAGTCGTAACCAAGCCGTGTCACAGCAGCCCTGGATGACAGAACTGCACAGGGCGTGCAGTGGCTGGGCTTTCAAGATTGCCAGGCCCTTCTGAGGTGCCTCTGCGTGGAATCGATCCTTCAACCAGTGGAGCTCTTCACACTTGCAGCTCCTCACTGAGCACGAGAGGTCAGCTTCCCACCTCAGGGCTTCTGTTTTTCCTGAAGCCAGACTTTGGCACTGTGACCTGGAACAAGAAAGCAGCACGAGCGAATGCTGTCTTTGGAGAGTTTTTGTTTAAAGGAAATGGTGCCTGCAGGCAAACACAAAATAAATGATAGCCGTGCCCAGGGCCGTGTGTGGCTCTGCGACGCAGCCCAGCTCTCCTGCCTGTGTTCTCTCGCGAGCGAGCAGCCGTTAAGTGACCACGACACAACAACGCAGTGGGCCACTTAGCGAAAGACTGGTGGTGTGAACCCGCCCAGTGGCTTATTGGTGATTGCCATGAAGATGACGGCTTGGGGAGTTCCACAGGGCGGTTCCCGTGTTCAGGCATGTGGGTCCCAACTCGGTGACAGCTCCTCTAGTCCCCCCACCCAGTGGAGAGGAAACCGTCCTTGTTGCCAGAGACCCTGGCCGATGGCCCCATCCTCGTCCCCAGCCCACAGAGCTCTGCAGGAGGTGTGTGTGGATACAAGCCACACTCGAGTGTGCTTTTCCTTTTTTTTTTAATTCTCAAATTTATACAGTGTGGAGCCAGACTGGGCAGGACCTTACAGAGGGCAGGCCTGGATGGTCAAGGTGTACATTTGTTCTAGAATGTGGAGTTCGGAGAATGTGCCTCCGAAGGAGGTAGGAATTGCTGAATTGTCAGACTTGCCGTCAGGCAGAAGCCTTTGTTCAAGGAAGTGAGAACCAAAATGCAGAAGGTGTGATGTGAATCCAGGGTTCAGATCTCATCAGCCAGCAGGTTAGGTCAGAGGCAAAAGGGAGTGGTGAGGACTGTGGGGAAGAGGCCTCAGGCTGTCACGATGGGGCAGTGCAGGTTCCAGCACCCAGAGCTGGTGTGTCCTCAAGAGAAGACTCCTGGGTTTCTCCATGAAATACACTCATTTGTCAGCCTAGGTAGCTTGTTCAGAAGTCTGTACCCCGCTGTGCGGATGGAGCCCATTTCTGGACTGAGACCCACAGGCCTGTGCAACCTTTGCCCCAAACAGACATGGTTCTCCCTCCTCCCCCTCCTTCATCGGGCCCAGAATAACCATCCTGACCTGGACAGGGTGTGTTTGGCAGCCTTTTCAAACCTGCTGTCCCTGATCCTGCACTCCAGCCCCAGCTGAGCCCCTTGGTCCCTTGTCACCAGAGACCATGATGGCTGTGGCTTCCCTCCTGGGGCTGACTGATCAGAAGCGAGAGGGGTAGTTTCTTCACCCCTGGTTAAAATGTACATCTGTAACGCTCTTATGCTCTGGCTCTGCGCAGAGTCACTGGTTAGCACTCACCATCCAGCCATGTGGTTCCCACGATGCTGGGGCACCTGCACCCATGGGAGCCTGGCTGGTTGGTCCTGACAGCCACCTGCATCACGGTCTCGCTTCCAGCACCCTATGGCCTTGTTTGGAAGTTAGAAAACCCAGGGCACCTCCTCCTGGAGAAATGTCTCAAAATCGGGTGCCAAGTGGTCCACTTTCTGACCACAAAAGGTGGTCTCCAGGAGTGGGGTGGGTCCCACGAGGGTCTGTGTGTACCCCAAAATCCAGCTGGAGCAGGAGGTAGAGCCTGAGCAGAGAGAGAAGGCTGGTGGGCCAGTAAGCACCCCGGCCCTCTTCTCACCAGGCCGGGGACCCCAGACCTGGTACTCACTGCCTGTGTTTAAACAGGTAACAGATGAGCAGTGGGAGATGGGGGTAGAATTCTCACCCCCGGCCTGGAGACCCAGGTTCCGTTCCGGCTGGTGCGCCTCACGCACACCCACCACCTCATTGGCCAGTGGAGCTTGGATGTTGCCAAGATGCTGAGCTAGTGTGAACAGAGCTTCCAGGCTAACACTAGGAAGAAAGGCCTGGCAACCGACTTCCAAGAATCAGCCTGTGGAGACTGGGATAATGAGGCCGGGGTCCAGGTGGCGCGTCCTCTTGTTAAAGGTGATCCAGCGTGGGCTCTAAGCAGGGGTTTGGCCAGAGGCCAGGGCGCAGCCGGGGCTCAGATGCTGCTCTCGTCCAGCAGCCGGCTGAGGCCCTCGCAGATGCGGCGCAGGTGGGTGCGGTAGGGCTCGGCCGGGCCGTACAGCGCCGCCAGGAAGTCACAGTCGGCCAGGTGGCCGAACACGTGGTTGATGCGGCCGTGGGACTTGGCCGTGAGGTGGGCGCCCACGGCCTGGTGCAGCAGGTCCCTGCACTCGAGCAGCGCGGCGGCCAGCACGCGCCGGTCGAAGGTGAAGTCCACCTGGTGGAAGCTGACGGCCGTCATGGCCAAGCTGCGTGCGCGCCTGCGCAGACGCTGCAGCAGCGCCAGCTCGTCGGTGCCCAGCTGGCCTGCACGGAGGAGGACGCCCAGCTTGAGCGCCACCTTGACCAGGTTCTTGACCACCTTCTGGGCCTCCTTGCGGCTGCGCGTGAACTCCTTGGTGGCGCGGTACAGCTCGTCCAGCACCTCGCTGCTGGTGTCGTCGATGAGCGCGGTCACCACCGCCTTGGACGCCAGCTTGCTCACCAGCTTCTTCTGGGCCTGCAGGGCCAGGTTCTTGGTGCTGAAGGCGTCCATGGGGCCTGCGGGGAGTAAGCCCAGCCGTCAGCCCCCTCGGGACGGCCACAGGACCCCCACCCAGGCACGCTCGCTCCTCCTCCACCCCCACCCACGTGGGACACCCTGTGTGGCTCCCTTTGTCTTCCCAGCCTGTGAAATTGGCACTCGTCCTGGGGGACACCTGGGCACTGCCACCCTCAGCGTGCCTCTGATGCTTGCGGGCCCCACACTGAGACATTCAGGTGGCACAGTGGTGAAGTATCATCTAATAAGCAGAAGGTCAGTGGTTCTAACCTGCCAGCCACTCCAGTGAGGCTGGAAGCCCCGGGCAGCCCTGCCCTGCCCTGCCCTGCCGGGCCATAGTGAGTGACCATGACTAGGTGACAGAGGGGTTGGGGCTTGTATAAGGAGCCCTGGGGAGCCCTCGTAGTGCAGTGTTAAAGAGCTTGGCAACTGGCTGAACGGTCAGTTCAGACCTGCGCAGCTGCTGCATGGGAGAGGCAAGCTGGAGTCTGCTCCTGTAAAGGTTAAAACCAAAATCCAACCAGTCAGCTTTCCCCCAACGTGGAAATCCTTCCTCCGCTGCAGATGTGCTGAAAACAAGCCATCATTTCCTTCACTCTGAGACCACAACCGACCCCAGGCCCAGGCCTTTCCCTGGTGACCCCTGTGCACCTCACAATGCCCTGACACCCCACCCCCAGCTGTGCCTCTTCCCTGCTGAACTATACACCCCACATCGCTTGAACCGCCAGGCTCCTACCGCTTCCTTCAATGCAGCCAGGACATCACTTCCTCCAAGAAGCCACCCTGGGGCCATCAGCCGGCTTTGCAGCCATCTCACTCCAGGACACAGGTCAGGGTGGGACTGACCCTCTCTCTCTAGTATCCTCAGAGACTCTGGAAATGTCCCCCAGTGAGTGAGAAGCTCAGAGGAACCTTGGGAAGAGGGGCGGGCCTGAGACCACCCCCTCGTCCTGTGCTCTGGCCCTGCCCAGCGGCACCCGCAGCCCAGCCTCTGCCTGGACAGCCCAGGAATGCTGTGTGGGCTCCAGCTCAAGCCTGAAGCCCCTACAAAGCCCGTCTTTGTGCAAGCTCAGACCTTTGTGCAAGCTTAGACCTTTGGGCAAGCTTAGACTGTGGCTTAAGGGTCAGGGCCCTGTCAGACCCAGCTCCACACGGCCCAGGGCCAGACACGGTGCCGCACTCAGGGGCGCTGCCCACCCAGCACCATGTGGCAGGGCCAGCCGGCCGTGTACGCCTCGTTATTTCCGCCAGGCCTGCCCTTGTGTGGGCTGGTGCCTGCTCCGCAGACCAGAACAGATGCGCAGAGAGGCTGAGCTGCTTCCCCGAGGCCACAGAGCAATGGTGGCAGCAGAGCCAGGACTCGGGGGAGGGACCATCCCCTCACCTAACATACAAGAGTCACCCCAACTGCCCCCACCTCCCATGACAAGTCAGCCCTATCTGGAGGGTCCACTCCCAGCTCTGACCCCTCGCCACTCAGGCCTCAGCTTCCTCACTCATAAACTGGGGCAGCTCAGGACCCACTTTGTCCTGTGGGGAGTCTGTGACACCACCGCCCCCCCACCCCCAGAACGCTGTGGCCCGACTGTCTGGATCCGCACCCTCCAAGTGAGCGCCCCCACCTGGCTCTTTAGACTTCTGAGCCTCGTTCTGAGGCATTCTGTGGGTGGAGATTTCTCCAGAACAATCCTCTCAATGCTACCTCTACCTCCACCTCTCTACTCCGTTAGTTATCTGGGAAACTCCTGCTCCTCCTTCAAGTCTCACCTCCCAGTCACCACCTCCTCCTGGAAGGCCTCCCAGATGCCGACGTGGCTCCCACAGGCCCTGGGCATCCCTGGTCCCTCTTAGTTCTCCAGTGCCACCAGCAGACCGCTTTCTCTATCATCTCATCTCTGTTCAGCATCTGTGGGCCTGGCATCCCTTGGGGCTCCCCACATGCTTTGGCATCAACCCTCTCCTGCATTGATGACGTTCCCAGCACAGGGACCCCTGATCCACAAGATGCACTCAGCTCCCAGCTCTTTCTTGGTGGTAGGGGGTCCCTCTGATCTCTGCTCACTCATTTAATCTTAGTTCTCAGAAAGGATTAATCTAAAACACAACCTAATCCTGCATCACATTCTGCCTTGTTAACATCACAGAGGTGAGGATTTACAACAGGCTCATTTCCTCAGAGCACAAAGCAGAGAATAATGCTGCAATACTGGGAAATCAAGGCCTGGACAGCTTGGCATACAGTTACGGGGGAGGGGAGCCAGGGAACGACACAATTCAATTCCTAGTGTCCACTTCCTTTGCCCAGTAGGATGAGCAGGGCCTGCACCTGTCTCACTCACACACACCTCCCAGCGTCCAGACCGGGGCCGGGTACACAGCAGACTCATCTTAAATGTTAGCTGGATGCATGAGAGGAAGGATACTACAAACAGAACTGACAGGGACTCTCTCCAGCCATTTGATGCTACCTGCCCATTTTACAAATAGGCAAACTGAGGCTCAGGGGAAGGCGCTGGGCCACTGGCCCCCAGGTCTTCCTGCCGTCTCAGTTGCTGTGTGACTTCAGCAGGGCCCTGCCACTCTCTGGGCCTTGACCCTCCCATCTGTGACCTGAGAGGGGCATCCTGGTTCACCGGCTGCAGCCTGTTTACTGACCTCGGGAAGAGACCAGGCTCCCCCCTGTTCAGCCAGCGAGCCCAGCAGGAAAAGGGCCAGGGAGGGGCCAGCTGTGGCCTCCCCGCAGGCCTCCAGACCCCTCCAGCAGCCGCCAGACCTGCCCACACCTGGGCCAGCCCAGCTGTGTGGTCTCCACTTCCTCCTCCTCACCCATTGTTCCACCAGAAATCCCCTCATGGAAGCAGAAACAGCTGGCAGGGAGCTGACCACCCTCCCAGGGGAGCAGGCCATGGACGAAAATAAGTGGAGACTTCCTTCCTGCCTACATGCTCCTAAGGCCAGGAGGCCACCATGCTACCCAGACCTCCCCCAGCTCAGACTGTCCCCATGAGCCCTGGGAGGAACGCCTCGCACAGGGCTGGGCTCAGTGTCCATGCCCTGCAAGGCAAGGACTCCCCCTCTTGTCTCAGGCAAACAGAGCTTCTGCATTTCCAAAGCTGTCCTGTGGAAGGAGGCCTTGTCATCCCTGCTCCAAGGAGGAAACTTAGGAGAAATGGCTTCTGTCATGGAGTCATAGCAACGCCAGGTGACAGAGCAGAGCCTCCTCACAGGGTCTCTCCTAAGCTGCCATCTTTTTTTTTTTTAAATTTTTTATTTTTTATGTGTGTACCATCAAATTGGATCTGACTGGTACAGGAGGCGAGTGTCCCTCCTTCAGCAGAGCATCTGGTGGATTTGAACCGCACACCTCTGGGATTGCAGTACAGTTTCCTGCCACTAGGCCACCAGAGTTCGCCTAAGCTGCCATCTTTATGGAGCAGATTGCCAGGCCTTTCTCCCTCAGACTTGCTGGAAGGTTCCAACGACCTCTCTCAGCAGCCCAGCACTGAGCTGCTCATACCATCCAGCCCACTGCTGGCGAGTCATTTCCAACTCCTGTTGTTGTTAGGTGCCGAGGAGTGGAGGACCACGCAGAGTGACCCTGTGCTCACTGGGTCTGCACCCTGCCCTACGCTGTGCCGTCCTCATCAGCTCTGACACACTTGAGTCCATGGCTGCAGCCACTGTGTCAAGCCATCTCACTGAGGATCTTCCGCTTTTGCAGACCCTCCACCCTCCCAAGCATGATGTCCCTTTCTCGGGAATAGCCCTTCTTGACAACATGCCCCAAGTATGTGAGACGGAGCTTCGTCATCCTTGCCTCCGAGAAGTACGAGCTGAACTTCCTCTATGATATCTCCATTCTCTTGGCAGCCCCTGGGACACTCAGCACTCTTCTCCAACATGATGCAAAGACATCGATTCTCCTGTCATCCTGATTCACTGTCGACTCTCAGATGCTTAGTAAGGAAGTGAAAAGACAATGGCCTGAAATAGACACACCTTGTTGTTGTTGTTGTTATGTGCCATCGCGACTCATAGCGACCCTATGTACAACAGCCCTAAACTCTGCTCTGTCCTGTGCCAATCACACTGTCTCTGACACTCCCATTACCCCAGTCACTGAATCAATCCACCTCATAGAGGGCCTTCCCCTCCTGCGCTGTCCCTCCACCCTCCCAAGCATGATGTCCTTCTCCAAGGACAGTCCCTCCTTAAAACATGTCCAAAATATGTCAGACGAAGACCCCTTGCCTCCAAGAAGCCACCCGGTTTAAGCCTCTCCAGGACAAATCTATTTGTTTTCCTAGCAGTCCATGTATTCGCAATACTCTTCTCCAGCACCACAGCTCAAAGGCGTCAATTCTCCTTCTATCCTCCTTAGTCATTGTCCAACTTTCTGACACATAACAAGTGATAGCAAACACTATGGCCTGTATCAGATGCACCTAGTCTCCAGAGAGACACCATTGTTCTTCAGCACTTTGGAGAGGTCTCTCACAGACTTTCTCATCACAATATGCCTTTTAATTTCCTGGCTGCTGTTGCCAAGAGTGTTGATTGTGGAGCCAAGCAGACTAAAGCTGTGAACAATCTCAATCTCTTCACCATCTATCCTGATGCTGCCAATTGGCCCAGTGGTGAGAATCTTTGTTTTCTTAATGTTGAGCCTCAATCCATATTGGAGGCTGCAGTCCTTGACCCTCTGCAGCAAGCGCTTCAGGTCCTCCTCAGTTTCAGCAAGCAGGGTTGTGTCATCTGCATAACGCAGATTGTTGATAGATCTTCCACCAATCCTGACACCACACTTCTCCTCATAGAGCCCAGCTGCCCAGATAATCTGTTCTGCATACAGGTTGAAAAGGTATGGAGACAGGACACAACCCTGGTGTATGCCCTTCCCAATTTTGAACCATGCACCTTAGTCTTTTTTTTTTCCTTGTGTACCGTTGAAACGGATCTGATTGGCACTGGAGAAGATTGCCCCTCCTTCT